CAACCTAAGTCAGAAGCTCATTTAATAAAAAGGGGGGAACTGTGGGCGCCATGGGCCCTGGCCCCCGACTGGGAGTGGCTGCGGCCTTGCTTGCTTGACCTTGATCAGATGTCCTCCCTATTCGGATTCCCTGCCGGTATCCACCCTTCTGAATGCTTGAGGGAAGTTCCTTGTGTCCCTGCCGGTATCCACCCTTCTGAATGCTTGAGGGAAGTTCCTTGTTGTGTATCCTGCATTTTGGGCGTTAACTACTTAGATGCTAGAATGTAGAACATTAAGTCTGGAATGTAGACCATTGACAGCGAACTTCTGCCCTCCGGGGGTTCCTCCATTTGTGCTGTAAGCCTGTACGTGTTTAAGGTTTCTCCCCTCTTTCAATCGTACGAATGACTCGCTGTCTTTTGTCTCTATTCTTTAATCCGCAGCCCTTCGCTCAGACATGGTGAACGGGTATTGGTAACGCGGGCGTTACCGCTACAAGAGAGGATCCCTCGGCATAGAGCCGGATGGGGGCACCCAGATAGTGTTCCTCTGCTGTTATCACTGGTCCCGAACCCCAATTCGTCATTATTTCCAAGGTAATTCCCTAAAGTTGGAGTGAGGGTACACCTCGTATTTCACTGTCCTTCCTCTACACCATTCCCTGGTATTCCTATCAAATGGAATTTGGCTAAATTGATAGCCCTTTGGGCCATTAATTTATCTCCCTTAACGTGTGATTTTTCCTTCCTTGCAAGCTCATGAGGGTGTAGCTGGTTCAATTCCATCCTATACAGTTAACTCTTCCGTGTCTGGTGTTCACACAAGAGACCAGAGAGTGGTAACCAGAAAATGTTTTGACTCTGGGTTCCCTCCTGGTCGTCACTGGAGCCCAGTGAAAGTGTGGCTTGGCTCCAGACAGAGTCCAGGAGGAGCCTAATGCAGTTTTTGTAACAAGTGATTCAAGTTTGCCAGAGGCCAGGATCAGAGCCAGTGTGTGTCAGCCACCCCCTGCCTCCACCATTTCCAATGCCCCCCTTCCCTTCTGACTGTCTCTACCTGGAATAGGGCAAGCCTCCCTACCAAAGTCACAGCTCTTCCATTAGATGCTTCAAAGGGTTTTCTTCATATTTCAACCTAAACTCTTAATGGACAAAGACTTAGGATAGAGTCTCTGTGGATCTGGAACAAGGGACAGATGAGCCATCCAGGATCTTACTGGAAGCCTTGCTTCCTTTCTCCTAAGCCTATCAATGTGATCCATCACTGTCTCAGGATAAGTCCCAGCTGCCACCACCCCCCACTCCCCAAACCCCCCACTCCTTATACCCCCCACTCCCCGCCCCATCCCCGGCTGCAGGGAAAGGGTATACTTTTGTCCTTCTTCTTGGTGCCAGAGTTCCATTTGACACCCTGAAGCTCAGCCATGGACCCAACACCCTCACCGGGTAACTCCCCCAGTGACCTACAAGCTGGACAGAAGCGAGGGCAGCCTGCCAGCTGGACTCCCTCCGAAAACCTCCAACCTGAGAAACGTGTGTGCGTCAGGTCTGGCAGAGCAGGGGAATTCTCCCAACCTGACAGGGTGTCGTTTCACGGAAAGAATTAGAAGTTTTCTTTTCATAGACTCACAAAGCAGCACAAACTCTTGGTACTGATTTGGTCCATTCTTCTGTCCCAGGCTGGGTTGAGTGAAAACAATAATTGTTAAACTTAGAAAGAAAGAGAGGAAAAACGCCTCCCAGAGAACTGCTCTAACATCCCCCTCGGGCGGGAGGGTTGTTTTTCCCTACTGGCCACACTAATTCCCCTGGGATGCAATTTGAGCTCTTTGCCCATTGTTCCTACATAGGCTCTTTCTATCCCAGCCGTTTCTCTCTGCCTGAGTTCTTATCCAATCCCCACCTCCCACCCCTACCTCAACCCCCCCCCATCTCTATATACATTTAATTCTACACTGTAATCACTGGACTGCACCCTGGAAGTATACTCAGGAGCCCTGGGTTTGCAAAACCAGCAACGTATTTTCCCAGGAGATGCTTATGTAGCAATCCGGACATTCTCCTGCCGCTACCTTTTAATTAGTTCAGGGAGTTGCAGTCTAACGGTGTGGGTGTGCTTGCCAGCTGTGCTTTTCGGGAAGTTATATGGTTGGCACTCAGCCTGTCTCCTCCCTGGGTTAGGAAATTATAGACTGCTTGCTTGTCTTGGACGTGTGAGTGCTGACCTTACCCCCACAGAACCTTGTATACTCCCAGGCCTGTCCCAGCCAGCACTCAGCTCCTCAGGGACCACTGTGGCAACACTTGTAGGAGAGATGGCTTTTCCGTTGAAAGAGATTGCTTTCATCGGTGACTGTTCAATCCACTAGGGTGACCTATTGCAGAATCAGTGTCAGCCAGAGGCGAGAGGAAAGATTTCATAGCTTGAGGGGTGCCTATAGCCCTCACAGGCAGGGCTGTTTGTACTTCAGGCTGCTGGACACCTTATACCCAGGAAATAGGAAGCCGGAGGGTCCCTTCTGGCCTCTCTCCTGAAAGGCTGAGCTATCTGTACTTCCTCACGGGGGCCCTGTGGGCTGCAAGGCTGAAATCAGATCTCTCATCGCTGCTGGCTAATTAAATGTTTCTCCTCTGCACAGACCACTCTTATTTTGTTTATGAGTTCCGTCTCTGAGTGACTGCATCACACTTTCAGCTCTGGTTTTAGCTTCCAAGGTCCAGTGTACCCTCTTTAAATGGGTGGATGCTGGTGGCTTTCCTGCCTTTTTATTTTTTTTTAAATTTATTATTTATTTATTTATTTATTTATTTATTTATTTATTTATTTATTTTTACGAAGATGCATTTCCAGCTCTGCTGTAAGTAGCCAGTGTCTCTCCAGTTGCTCATGTGGGTTGTGTTGGTTTCCACCTGACATTTCCAGTTTAAACCCATCAGGGCAGTTTTCTGTCCTCATTTGTCCCACACTCCGGCATGTACTTCTATAGCTATTAAACGTGGATGCTCATACACACAGAGACATGCACACTCATGTGCATTCCAGCAGTCACACGTGCACACACCCCTGTCCCACGTTTGCTCTTTGGGGAAGGGCCTTGACCAGTCTTTACCCATGGGCCCCTGGGCTTCTCTGGTAGAGATTTGCTATTGGTCATTGCCCTACTTAGTAGCTGCAGTTTTCTCTCTCTCTCTTTGAGACAGGTTTTCTCTGTGTAGCCCTGGCCAGGAACTCACTCTGTAGACCAGGCAGGCCTTGATCTCAGAGATCCACCTCCCGAGTGCTGGAATTAAAGGTGTGTGCCACTACTGTCTGGCAAGAACTGCAGCTCCCCATCCTCTCGAGCCTTCACCGAATCCCGGCACGTCTGTCACTCTGCCTGGATAGTGACAATCGTTAGTTCCTTTTGTTTTAGATGGATCTTGGTAGCAGTGTACAATAATCCAAGTCAGCACCTACTTCCTAACAGTGACATGGCTGGTAAGGTGCTTACGGGGTAAAAACACATATAAGCCTGATGACTTGAGTTTGCACCCCAGATCCTGAAAGTTGTCCTCTGACCTCCGCACACATGCCCTGGTACATGTGCACCTGCACATACATAGAGCACACACAATAAATAATAATAATAATAATAATAATAATAATAATAATAATAATAATAAACAGCAGCAACTGGTCATATAGCAGATTAAGAATTAACCTGTCACCCCTTTGCTACTTAGGATTGAGTAACCCATCCCACTCCACACCCATGTAGCGCTACTTTTAACCTTTCCGCCTTCTGACAGTTTACATCATAGTCTGTAACTTTGACGTTCTGTCTCAGCCATGTTGCTTACGTACCTTTGTTTCAATGTTTTGCAAATTAAGCCAGGTTCTGTGCCTTGGGAGCTCAGAGGATTGGCGCCAACTATAATCAGATAAGCACGAGATTCATTCTTTGGAATTCTCCAATAGACAGCCTTAGAAAGATTTGGCACCTTTAGTTTACCGTGACAGGATTACAAGTGGTACTTTCAAAATGGAATTGAGCCACAGTTGTCTGAGCAGTTGGAAGGGAGCTTCAGGAAGGAGATGGAGCAAGCAGTTGAGTGAAGAGCAGACCATGCCCGACCTCACGATGGGGGTTCTCACAGCCCTGGTCCTTTTTTTCTTTTTTAAGATAGGGCGGCAGAGGCAGGTGGATCTCTGTGAGTTCAAAGCCAGCCTGGTCTACAAAGTGAGTTCCAGGACAGCCAGAGCTGTTATGCTGTTATACAGAGAAATCCTGTCTTGAAACGCCTCCCCCCCCCCCAAAAAAAAGATAGGGTCTCACTAGGTAGCTCTCTCTCTCTGGCCTGGAACTCATAGAGATCCACCTGCCTGTGCCTCATGAATACTGGGATTAGTGATGTGTACCACCACACTCAGCCAGCCCTGGCTTTTGGCAGAGGTGGGTGGACCAGGCAGCAGCTGAGCATTACATTCCTGAAGGCAGAGAGGAAACTTCCCTGGGTGGCTGTGCTTCAGGGATCTGCTGACACTCAAACCTTCTGGTCTGAAGGGAGAGCATCAGCAGCCCAGATGTCAGCAGCAACATGTCTGCAACTCAACAGGGCTGCCACCCCCAGCCCCACCCTACCCTTGCCATGCACTAGTCTCCTAATATTTGTCCCAGACCTTCCAAATTGCTTTTAACTCACTAAGTCATGTTGTTGTTGGTTAGTGGAGAAGGGCCACCATGCCCATCACATTACAGGCTCCTCTGAGAAAACAGTTATCGTTTTGGTGGCTGGTGGTGATTGTTTCATGGGGAAAGATATCCAAATTCATTCCGTGTTATATATATTAATGCAGTCAGTTTTCCACCTGCCAATCATAACTTCAATAGAAAGGCTTAAAAAGGAAATACCCTGACTGGTGATCATAAATGTTTCCAAGTGCCATAGATTCAGAATGATCATGTGTAGATGGACTTTTCTGTCCCTCCAGCCAGCTCCCAAATAACCACACAGAGACTTATTAATTATAAATGCTTGGCCTGTAGCTTAGGCTTGTTACTAATGAGCTCTTACAACTTAAGTTAACCCATATTTATTAATTTATGTGCTGCCACATGGCTCATAGCTTGTTACCTCATTTTCTACTCATCCTGCTTCTTCTGTGTCTGGATGGTGACTCCCTGTGACTCCACCCTCCCTCTTCTTCCCAGCATCCTCTCAGTTTGGCTCTCCCTTCTAACTTCTTCCTGCCTAGCTATTGGCCATTCAGCTCTTTTTTTTTTAAAAAAACCAATCAGAAGGTGCCTTGGCAAAGACACATCTTCACAGTGTACAAAAAGATTATTCCATAACACCATGGAGGTTTACAGAGGTGCCAATGGGAAGTATTAACCTTCAGTTGTGAGCATGGGAAAACTGGTCATTCTTCCATGGTGTGTACAGTTTATGTGGCAGCACCATACACAGTACTTAATTACCAAGAAGATGTCACTTGCAAGTCATGCTCACTGGCTGGGTTTTTACATGTCACGCCATGGATGCACAAAGGGAAAGTAAGAACGCACCTGGGGGAAAGCCACCCGGTCTTTAATTAGGAGTGAGAAGGAAGAAACAGG